TCATCATTCACTCATATTTCAACTGGTGGGAGGGGGGTCACAAAAAATTACTATTTCGATACACAAGCACATATCAAAATGGAAATACTCGTAATGATTTTAAACTGCAAACGAGTGCATGGCGCATCTCTGAGCACGGGAGCTCACTGCAGAAGTATCGAATTGAGCGCGGCAGCGTTTGTCAAGGCTTACCCTGAGCTCTCAAGAGTGAACAACCCTTATTTTACTCGCCTCAAAGGCATGATGGCTGGAGAGCGGTGCGGGTCTGATGACGTCATTGGTGGATCAAAACCCTCACCACGCTGTGGATGTAACAGAGACCGCCTCTTAACGTTTTTACGCCAATGACGTTCAATGACGTCACCAAAACCGAACCCTTTTAAGCCAGTGATCACTGCTTTTGAAGTCCTCCAAAACCAGGGACGTGCCTGTACTCGAACGCTCAGATTTGGCTCGCTTAATAACAAACGCCTTTTGTATCCAGCTGCAAACGAAGGAATAGAAGAGAAAGGGTTAGGGGCGGAGATGGGCACGACACTTCCTTAAACGTACACTCTGCTAGAATTCAGCATTGTTTAAGTTGGCGAATGAAGTGGGAAGAAACAAGGCAGTCTCCAAGCTTGGTGATGGGCGGAGCTTGCAGAAGGGGCGGAGTATTTGGTATCTGGTTTTTGTGCACGCGAATAGGATACGAAATCGACAATGACGTAAATCAATAAAAAAATCAAGTGAACTGACTGTTGACTGGAATTTTCTATGGGAGAGCCCATATGACGCGATCTCAATTGATCCGGAAATGAATGCGGGGAATAAGTTGCAGCATACGGTGCTCGAAAGTGATCTCGAAGGTATGTCGGGTTATCCATTTGTTGATGACCTGTAACAGTAGAACTCTTCACGTTCTAATGGTTGTACTTTAGGTATATTTATGTATGTTTCTATGTATCTTTGCTCCATTTCCATATGAAAATCAGAGGCCTCCGAGGGTGTCTGTGGCTGCTCTGACGGTATATAGGACCCTCACA